GGTGTCAAAAGGGTTGAATTAATACTCTACCGAAAGTCTCCATTGTAGTTCCTTTTTTTGGTTTACCAGTTTTATGGTTAGGATCCTATAATAGAGCTTTTGGTTAACCAAAAAACTGAACTGCAATGGAGACTATAGGTAGGGTGATGCACCTGGAAAGGATCCTCGCATTAAGGGTCCTCAGGGACCAAATGACCACAGTATTGTTCGTGAATAAAGCCTCTTCGGGTGCATTTCGTTCTTGAGGTTCAAGATTTGTTTTGGGTTTTTCCCTTTCGTTAAAAGGGTATGGACCGTGTCTGAGGGCTTCGCAACTGTTTCGTGTTGCAGCTGATGCCAAATGTTAGACGCGGTACTACAACCCGCCCGGGTTAAGAATTTCAGGGTTTAGGGTCTTAGGGTTTAGATACCTCGACCCCCAACCACCTTCTGGTATACCCTAAGTACCCACTATTAAGGACAATAACTCTTAAAGGGCACTTAAGGGGGTCCTGGCAGGGTGTAGTGCTTAGAATTTCGGGTTGTCCTTACAATCACCCAAGTGGTTGGGGCCCCCACCTCTGAACAGGAAAACCTGTGCTCACACAAGGGATGGACGGATGGATGGATGGATGGATGGATGGATGGATGCATGGATGGATGGATGATACAAGAGGGAAGCAGGGCCAATACAAGGATCGGACTGATTGGTAACGGTATCCCACGCACTCTAGTACTTATCTGAAGAATACTATATCTCGCAACGTACAAGTATTCTGTGCTGAATTAAGGCCCCTATGCTACAGAGAATCTTAGGGTAGTACTTGCCCTAAAGCTGCAACGCAGATCCACGACTAAAACAGCTACTTCTCGAAGCATCCCGGGCTATTCGGGCTGAATGTAGGATTTAGGCCCAGACCTTCCAAAATCCCTTAATTAAGGAATATCTTATTAGGGATCCTACTACAATTTAAGGTATATTCCTTAATTAAGGGATTTTGGAAGGTCTGGGGGGTTTCGTGGATAGGGACGAGAAGAAGGGGACTCAGGTTCTTAGGCTCTCTTCAGTACAAGTATAATATAACGAGAACTGTAAGGAACAGTATGACTGGTTTCTGTATTTCAAGGCTCCGCTGATCCCCTGAGCTACTGTGCCAGTTTGCAGCCTTGCCTTTAAGGTGTGAAGTTCATTTACGGCTCAGCAATGCGACTGTAGGTTTAATGCTGTGGTTGGGGTTAGGGTTTTGAGGTGCTTCCTTGGAGGCTCCTCTGACTTTGCGTGGTAACCACCTAGAAACCGTACATTGATTGACATGTGCCACCGTACTGACAGTTATAGCGAAGTCAACAGAGTGTCCAAGCAGCCATGTCTAGGGTCACCGGTATTCACCGGAGGTCGCATGCAGCCATAGCTAGTTATTTTGACTTGTGACGTGCTTGGAAGCAATCCATGATACTTCGGGCAGGGCTCGTGGGCTGCAAAAGAATCGATTTTGTATGAGAAGCCACGCCAGTAGTCACAGTATACCCTAGACTGGTCTTGTGGTTGAGGTCTCTTCTGAAGAAGCCAACCTTTAGCAATAGCACAGCTAGCACTATCATGGCTTGTTTGATTATTCATGAGTTATGCGTGCTGTTAGGATTCGTAGTGTTGGTGCCCTGTGCAAACATACATGTGCATAAGTATACAACTACGAAATGTATTCTTGTGTATATGTGTATATATACATACGTAGCATTGGTTTTTGTCGTGGTATGAGTTTTTTGAGAGGAATGCCTGGCCGGCGATGCCGTCATCAACGTGGGGATTCAAAACTTCAGCAAGACAGGCGCGCTGCAGTCTTATCGACACGTTTCTTGTGTGTAACCTAAGCGTTCATGTAACCATGTAGGATATACCCTGGCCCCAACGTGGCTTAAGTATATGTGCACTATGCATGACAACCCAAAGCCCCATGCACACCGCAATTCAGGACATACAGTTGCCAATGTGGGGCTTGATATGACCCCAAGGGTCCAAGTACCTGCTGATCATATACTCTCCAAAGAATCCTTATCCCAAAACCGAGTACCTAATTATTGGGTCCTTTGGACCCTTGGGGTGATTTAAGGATTACATTCCTTAACTGTAGGAGTCGGGAGTTTCTTTCGTTTCCTCGATCAGAAGATGCTCCGGATTGCCTGATTCGGGACCGCAGCATAGGACACCTTCCTGTGGCCTCTCCAGCTCAGGTTGCAGCGATAAAGCCTAAAGCCAGCAGCGAAAAGGGCGCACAGAGCAAGCAAAGAATGGCTTTCAAAGTAAATTGTGAACTGTAGCTATAGTCTCCATTGTAGTTGCTCTTTTTGGTTAACCGAAATTCGTATTATAGGACTGGTTAACCAAAAAGAGGAACTACAATGGAGACTATAGGTAAGCCCTAAACCCCTCAACCTAAACCCCGAAAGCCAGGATCATTACCCCGACGATTTAAAACCTAATCTTATCCGCACGTCAGTTTTCCGATGCCTAGAGCCCTATAGTAATTCCTTCTAGGACCCCTAGGGCGGTCCCAAAGCCCTAAAACCTAAAGCCCTAAACCCTGAAGCCCTCAAGCGCCCCTAAACACCTAAACACCTAAATCCAAAACCCTAAACACCAAAACCCTAAAGCCCTAAACCCTAAACCCCAAACCCTCAACACCAAAACCCTAAAGCCCTAAACCCTAAACCCTAAACAGCAAAAAACCCTAAAGCCCTAAACCCCTACATGTCTTTTGGAGGAGAGGGAGCCTTCACTGGCGAGGTGTCTGCCGGCCAGGTCGCAGATGCTGGCATCAAGTGGCTTTGGCCGCCAGAAATACCCAGACCTTCCAAAATCCCTTAATTAAGGAATATACCTTAAATCATATTAAGGATCCTACTATAATTTAAGGTATATTCCTTAATTAAGGGGTTTTGGAAGGTCTGGGTAGAACAAAGGTTCTGAGGGTTTGGGGGCTTGGGGTTTATAGGGCTTCTCGAGGTTCTACGGGTAAATCCGCCGTGTATGCAAGAACCCCACGCCCCCAAGCCTTCTAGGTTTCAGGGTCCCCACAACAAGCCCTGCCCCAAAAAACTCTGTAAGAAACTCTAGGCTCTTGAGTAGTACCCTTTTGCCCTTTTTGTTTTAGGGTCCTCTAACCAAAACCGACTAGGAGGAAAAAGGGTTCCCTTATTATAGAGGGGCCACTCAGGAACCTAGAACTGACAGCCCATCGGACCTACTAAGGAAGAATGGCCCCCCAAAGAACAAGCACATACGCACACAAGCGCACGCATGCAACTGGAGAACCCAGAAAATTAAATTAGGGGCCCAGAAAGCGGCTTCTTAAGGGAGTTCCTATGCGAAATCCTTATCCTTGCTTTTGCTTATGTGATTTGTTGGGGCCCTACTTAAAGGATCATGGGGCTTAGTAACCGGGGATATAAGCAAGGTAACTACAGTTATAGTTACTTCTAACCCTAAATTAAGGTACTTAAAACCCTACTTGCTAAGTCCTATGATCCTCCAAGTAGACCCTAAACCCTAACTAAAGCCCCTTAGATCCCTTACTAAGCAAGAAAAGGTATGTCCTTGTGGGGCACTCTGAGCGTCGGTCTCTCTACGGCGAGACTGACGAGGAGCCTCGGGATGGGTCTTTCTGGCTTTGCTGGAGTCCATGACCCTACTTCCTTTTTTCGGGGAGTATAAGGGGTTCCTTTGTTGGGATCTACAGGGTTCCTTTAAAGGGTCTAGGGGACTTAGTAAGTAGGTTATAAGTAGGGTAATAGTTGCAGTAGCTCCATTTAGGGTACTTTTTACTCTACTTATGACTACTTACAAAGTCCCCTGCCCCTCCAAGTAAGGTCCAAAGGACCTGACTAATTTGTATTTACGTGGGTTGGGTACAGTTGTTGTTTTGTATTAACCTTTAGGGTGAGTCTAATCTTGGGGCCTTAGTAATCAGAGTAGGGTTAGATTACATTATAGTATTAAGGAATCCCAAGGAGGCCCCTAATCGTTGAGGCTCCTGTACTAGGAGTTGTGTAGGCCCAGATGAGCCTCGAAATATAGGGGTGTTTGATCTGACACTACAAGCCTTGTATGGGATATGAACCACAAGCCTTGCAAGGCCCATCGGACACGTTTCAGCAGGACTAACCAAGAGCCAAAGGTTGTTTTATCCGGCTTATTGTAACAAACACCAAATTTAGGGTTCGGAGTTTTGGTTTGCAAGCAAAAACAAGTTAAATGTTAGCATCGTCTAGACGGGCCCTGGGATTGCGGTTACTCTGCAAGATGGCTGTGTAGGGGCTAGTAGCTGGAGGTGAGAGGCTGTGGGCGAGCCCTGAGTGAGATTGTGTATGTCTTCGGGGGAAGACTGGATTAGGGCACATGTGCGGTCTTGCCGTAAACTCCAAACCCTAGACCTTAAATCCGAAAGCCTGAACGCTTAAACACTGGGGCCTAAGGTTTTTCGTTTAAGAGGGTCGGGAGATCGTCAAGAGGGTTTTGCGACTTAGAACTTCAGGGCGTATCGCTGGACGGTAGTCTCTGGCATTCTTCGGTCGCTCTGAAGAGGACATAGAGAGGAGGCACTGTGACTTGTATCCTTCTACACGAATGTTGTTTTTTTTGCATCGGAAGGCTCTAGATTGCATCGCAGGGTTCTGTGGGCTACCAGGCTACGCCATCACTCCGAAACCCCCAAATTATCCTTTCTATGCTCGTGGTTCAAGCCAGTACCGTGTGCGCTTGACTTGAGGCAACCCTATAGGGCCTGAACACATATTGCTTGAATTATAATAGGGAGCCGTCAGGTAGTAGCTAAACCCTGAGAGCGGAACTGCGTCGGGAAGCTTCGGGGTCTATAGGATGTGATATTAGGGGCCTTCATAAGTAATAGATGCATGGTTCTTCAACAGAAATTTACAGAAACATGCCCCGGAACTCTATTGCAATTATTAGGGCTTCTAGAGTGCGATGTAGGTGTTGAAGTCTCGTCCCTCTTGTGCTAGACATGCTGCGGATTCGGGCATTGTCGGGTGAAGGCCTCATTGAGATTAACTTGGTGAGCTTTCTGGAGAAGCTTCCTGCAGAGATGAGCCCTGTCCGGGCCCTGAAGCAACACTTGCACAGCACACTTGGGCTGTCAAGGTTCAGGCAAAGGCTGGTGTTTCCGGATGATGGTGTGGTTCCAGATGACGAACGCGCCTTGAGACCCGGCGAAGTTCAGGTCGTGATCCTTAGCTTCTGCCGAGCATCTGTGGTGCAAGTGAAGGCGCTTCGGGATGCTGCAAGAAGCGGGTTGACATTGGAAGTGGAGACTTTTCTACAAAGGCCGCAAGACCCGGACTTAGGTGATCCGGCCCCGCTGTTCGAAGCATCCTGCCGTGGCCACTTGGAGGTAGTGCACCTCCTTCTGGAGGCCAATGCTGATAAAAACCGGGCCACGTTTGTTGGTCACACCCCTTTGTTGATTGCAGCCCAGACTGGGCAGCTAGAGGTTGCCCGCCTTTTGCTGAAGGCCAGAGCGGACAAAGACCAGGCCAAGAAGAACGGTGCCACACCTTTGTTCGTTGCAGCGGCGAAAGGGCAGCTGGAGGTCGCACGCCTTCTGCTGGAGGCCAAAGCGGACAAGGACAAGGCCCCAGACAAGGGTGCCACACCTTTGTATATTGCAGCTCAAAATGGGCAGCTGGAAGTTGCGCGCGTTTTGCTGGAGGCCAATGCTGACAAGGACAAAGCCCAAGATAAGGGTGCCAGCCCTTTGTATATTGCAGCTCAAAATGGGCAGTTGGAGGTTGCACGCCTTCTGCTGGAGGCCAAAGCGGACAAGGACCACGCACAAAAGACGGGTGCCAGCCCTTTGTATATTGCAGCTAAGAATGGGCAGTTGGAGATTGCACGCCTTCTGCTGGAGGCCAAAGCGGATAAGCACAAGGCCACAGGGAACGGTGCCACCCCAATGACTGTTGCAGCCGAGAAAGGGCAGTTGGAGGTTACACGCCTGTTGCTGGATGCCGATGCGGAGAAGGACGAGACCAAGGAGAACGTGTGAGTTGGAGGTTGCGCACCCTTCACTGGAGTCTAAAGCGCCCGAGAGTGCTGCAGGCCAAAGCAGACGTCATTCATGATGGAGCCACGCCTTAGCTCAGGGTGGTCAGCAGGATTGCACAGCTTCCCAGACCCTCCATCCGCCCTCTATTAGACTCTAAATACCCATTATTTGGGACCATATACCCCTAATTGGTACACTGAGGGTACACGGAGGGTTCTGGTCTATCTAGAAACGGAGGCTGATATGGACGAAGGTGCGGAGCCCTGGATGCTTTTGCCAGGCCTTTGGTCGTTGCAGGCGGGCCAGTCCCCATGCAAAAAGAGGGCAGTGCCAACGATGTGTTTAAGTAGGTGTAGGGTTTAGGGTTTAGGGCGGAGTGCAGAAATAGGGATCATATCTGGGCCCAAGTAGTGGGATTGTTGATGAAAGGATGTCCAGTCAGCAGGTCATCTAGCACAGGGCCTGTACGCAGAGAGAGAGAGAAGCTTGTAATCGGAAACTTGCAAATCAGGGAATGCAGACTGCCAGCGTACCGAACTGAGTGCCGGAAATGCCATCCCCATTGACATAACTAGTGGAAGTACTTCTATGAGTTGGGACTATCCAACTCCGAAAGCAACTGGGTAGTTGTCAAAATTAGGGTCCTTTTTTTGGGTACCCTAAATATTAGGTGCCGTATTATAATAGGGATCCAAACGGGGACCATAATTTGTCCATAATTTTGACAACCACCCGTAACTGAATCCGAGACACGTGAACAACGTTGTCGAAGGACTGCGCCGCCAAGACCAAGGCTTGTTGCTCGGGCCAGGGCTGTACCCCCAAGGGTCCAAAGGACCCAACAATTAGGTACTCGGTTTTAGAATAGTACTGTTGATGGACAAATCCTGCTTTACCCATCATAAGGAATATGCCATAGTTCCCATAGTTGAAAGTCCTTAGGGTCATGCAGGATTTTGTCCATCAGCAGTAGTTGTGTAGGTTAGGATTTTGGAGAGTATATGATTATTAGGTACTTGGACTCTTGGGTAAGGGATGCTTTTGCCACTGTTGCTGCTGGTTGTGGTTGGCAGGTTGCGTACGCAGTGTGGTTGTCAGCTAGCTAGATAGGTAGACATAAGGAGAGATAGACAGGAAGAAAGGTAGGTAGATCGGTATATAGGTAGACAGATAAATGGGTAAATAGGTGGATAGGTAGACCAGGTAGACAGATAGATAGACGGACGGCATCATGCTGCAATCAGGCTGCATGTCAGTTTTTGCCTACATCCGGGCGGAAAACCACTTTGCCCTGTTTACCCTGTGTACTCATGCACCAAATCTAGGATGCCCAGTAGTACCCTTATTCCTTTTTTGTAGTCCTAGGTTCCCTATAAAGTTACCCAATACCAAAAAGAGAGGCCTTTTTTATTCTTAGGTTACTGAGTATCCTAGAAATTATGGGCGGTACGAACAGCTTCATTGACTGAAGGATGGGAGGGCTGCATGGGTTGCCAGTAGCACGTCGGGGTCAGGGCGCCTCTGCTTCCCAGCACAAAGCCACATCGCATCTAAACCCCAAACCCTAAACCCAAAATCCCAAACCCTAAACCCCAAACCCCGAACCCCAAGCCTTGCCCGCAGGCTGCCTTGGACAAAGGCCAGGCATGAGATTTGCAGGGGTTTTGGGCTGTCTTTAGCTGGCAGGGTCTTCATAGGGGACGGGGGCATGGAATGTAGGAGTTATAGGACCCCAAGGTATGATCATAGGGATCCATTCCTTTGAATAACGAGGCAGTTCGGGCATTCTAGACTTTCACAAGTTTTCGTCACCCGACGCAAATACGCGTTCTTCACATTTTCAACTCTCTTTGTGCTTTTTGCAGTGGGTGATTTGGACAATCGCGCTCCAAACCCTAAACCCTAAACCCCAAACCCAAATCCCATTTACCCGACATCCTAAACCGGGGCGGCCCAGAACTCCCCTAAGCCCTAAACCCAAACTCCAAAACCCCCCAAAAGTTCAAAAGCCCAAATCTCTACGGTTGCAGGGATCCTTGCAGAGATCCCAATACTCCTAAATTGAGGAATATACCTTAAATCATGATGTTAAGGCCCCTATACTTTAAGATGCACTCCTGAACTAAGGGATATTGGAGTCCCCTAAACCCTTAACCCTATAGATCCCTTGAAGGAACCCTATAGATCCCTCATAGATCCCTTTCAGGAACCCTAGGTACTCCTGAATTAAGGGATAGTGGGATCTTTGAGCTTTCAGAGGTCTGACTGTGGTGTTCTGCATCGGCGAGCAGCTGTCCGACCGCCACTCCAGCAGCGGTTCGGGTTTAGGGTTTTAGGGTTTAGGGAGTTCCGCAATGTTTGTCTATCCCTCAGGATCGAAGGACTAATGGCCCAAAGACCATATTATATTGGGCTTTTGCATGCGCTATTTTGAGTTTCAGGCTATAGTAGTAGACTTCAATAAGAGGTACGAGTGCGATAGGAGGCTTGTTGGGGTATGGAGGCCTGCAAATTATTTCCTCGGTTCGCCTTAGCCAGATACAGCATTGCAGCATAATGAATAATTAAATGCCATTCTGAATTAGATTCCCGATACCTAACCTTTAAACTTTTTGGGTTCTTATAGTTTAGTAGGAATCGGAAAGTTTGACCTTTTATTTCTGTGGCTCTTTGGGGTAGTAGTAGTAAGCAGCACAATGCATAAACCCCATTCTGACTACTCAGGCCCCTATCCCTGGGCATCAGAATAGCCCAAGAGCCTTATATAATATGGTCTTTGGGCCCGAAAGCCTTAATATATGAGCCCTTAGATGCCTAGGGTATGTTACAGACTGGGGTTTTCTGGGCGTATTCAAGGTTCAGGATGTCGGAGCTTGGGAAGGGTTTGGGGTTTGGGGTTTTCGCTGTTTAGGGTTTAGGGATTTTTTCTATACAGGATTCAGGGGAGGATAAGCTTGGATGTTCAGCTGACTGCGCTGGCCCCAAACAAGGCTGCTAAAGCCATATGTTCAGGCCATAGACTTTGAACCCGAAATGCATGCAGCCCTACACCTTAAACCCGACGGCGTTCTAGCACAGGTCAGAGCGGCAAGACCACGGAAGTCTGCGAGACGCAGATGAAGGCCGAGAGCTATTTTGTGCCGTTGGTGCTGTAGTATCGGGTCTTTAGAAAGTAGATTCGGGTTCCTACGAGATTCCTTTCAAGGGTTCTGTAAGCGATACTATAATGTTTTAGTCCGTATGTATAGAGTCTCTTAGAGGGCCTGTTCGAATACGGAGCCCGACAGAGTGGTACAAGTCATTATTGAGGCCCCTTTAGTGGCGCTCATTTCTTTGGAGCTCCACGGCCCAAGTCCTTAATCTTGAGCTCTATTAAACCCGAAACCTTAAAACTTAAACCCTAAACCCTAAACCCTGTCTATACACCCTGCGGCAAGAACTACACCCCAAGCCGTACACCCTGAGCCTTGCACCTTTGGGAATCTTTAAATGTAAGCCCCAAGCCCTAAACTCTGAGCACGAAACACTCAAACGCCCTAAACCGTGCACCCCAAAAGATCCTGCACACCAAGCGCCTTAGCCTGCGATGAATCTTCCCAGTGAATTCCTTAACATCACCTTAATCTGACCCTAAACCGAAACCGCCGCCCCAACCCGAGATACTAAACCCCATAAGCACAAAACAACATCTGCGACCCCTTGCTCCTAGGGCTGCCAAGAATTGAGTTCGCTTTTTGTATGAGGGTCATGTAACATATGTATACCTATCTATACGTATATATATATATATATATGTAGAGAGAGAGAGAGAGAGAGAGAGAGAGAGAGAGAGAGAGAGAGAGAGGGAGAGCGATTCCGTCTAAGTCTAAGACCGTGAAGGGTACTATATAAGCTTCACTGTTTCAGGGCTCCTTAATGCTACTTCTGATAAGAGCGTAATAATAAGGTTCTGTAAGATTGCTTTGGGTGTAGTTTTTTTTTTGGTGGTTTTGGGTGTTTAATGTCTAGGGTGCTGGTTTCAAGAGGGGTCCCGTAAGGGTTTCATGCACAGTTTCCGAGCCGTAGCGGACAGCCGCACAGACCTTCGCCTCCAGTCGTCGATGACGGCAACCAGTCCAGAGCCGACATAGGGGAAGCCCTAAGGGTCCATGTACCCATATAGCATATACTTTGGGCCCAATGTACCTATATAGGGAGTACTTTAAGGCCAATGTGTTTACTATATGAGTACATGGATCCTTAGGAAGGGGAGGTGAAACCCTAAACCCTAAACTGCCGAAAGCGCCGCATTTCTCGGCTACGCCTCGCAGAATACGGACGTCAGTCCTTTTGAGTGAAGACACCAAATCCACGACCAAGGGGAATTATAGTGTGTTTTTTGGGTTTGGGCTGGGTCTGGGGGGTATCTCCAGGATGGTCTGGGCTCCAGGCTGGCAATTTTCCGGTTTTGGCCCAACCCAAAAACTGGTCTGCCCTCCTCCCCTGCCCTGCATGGCCTGCCCTCCCTGCCCTCTGCCCTGCACCTTTAACCTTCTGGGGCTTGTAGAATCCTACTATAACCCAGAAGGTTAACTTCTTTTGGGCTGGGGTACTCCGCCCCAAAGTAACAAGCATAAGGCTTGCTCCTCATATGGCAGGCAGTGATCCCGGTGATTTCCGATTGGTCGAAGATCGTCATTGCATATGCCTCTTGGTACCAGAGGCAAGTATGTTAGTTGCATCAGTCAAGGTCTAGGATTCCCAGTAGTACCCTTATTCCCTTTTGTAGTCTTACATACCTTGTCTCAGATAGTGAACGGGGAACTTTAAACTTTCCGGCCTTATATATTAGCTCTATCTTAGAAAGTTTGAACTTTTTTGGGCCCGGCTGTTGAAGAAGAGAGTTGTAAAGGTACCCAATAGGGAGCCCTATTGTATTCCTAGGCCACTGGGCATCCGAGAGGTCGAATTCAGCTTCTCTGCTCCAGGAGGTTTGGGGTTCGGCATTCGGGGAATTTTTC